ACCATTTGTTTCACCAATTTATAAATTTTTTTTAAAATAATGATTCAAATAAATTTTTTCTCATTTTTTTGTTGCTAAAACTTGTTTTGAAAAACTAATCTACATAATTGTTGTAAGAACCTAAAAACAGAAAATAGAATTAAACAAGCCGGTGATTTTTACCTCCATAAAGAGAATTAGAAGGAGGCCAAGGAAGTGTGAAAAAGAAAGAAAAAAAAGTTAACAAGAATGTTCAAGAAAGTTTTCACACAGGATTTATTTGTAAATAACATATTTAATTAATTGATTGTTATTAAAATATAATAATATCACGCGATCTATGTAAATGATATTCTTTAGTAGAGTAAGGCTTATTATTTTAGTAGTATAGTTAAAAATATACATGACAAATTGAGATTATCATGGTTATCAAACACATAAGTTTTCAATTCAATATAAATTAATATGTATGAAGTTACCATGGCATTAGTTTATGTACTATCTTTCTTACAAATGAACAGCGCCAATGGCAATGATAAATCTTCAAAGCTAAGTTCATGGTTTGTTGAGCTGACCAATAAACTAATACGCACTAGTGTGCACAATCTACTTCCTGTCTCACATTCATTTTTAAAATTTAGAATATCTAATCTTCTAAGACATAAAGTTTATGGTCAATTTAAATTTAAACTTTTAAAGTATGGCTTATTAGTTATTGCAAGCATGGTCCTCTTCATGGATGACTCATGGATCATTCGAGTCAGAACTTGAAGAAGCTCAAGACTAAACTTCTAAATTCAAAATCCTTGGGCTTTTCAGGCCCATGTTCTTGTCATGGATAAAGAATGTCAACACATAGTAAATGCTTTAATATGGACCAACCTGAATCCATGGAATCCCAAATTGAATTAGAAAGGCCCAATATGGCTTGAGAGGAACAGATTGATCTTGGTGGGAAGAACCATGGTCATATACAGTGACGGACGCAAGATCCAAAGCCAGTGAGGATATAATTAAATAAATTTTAAAAATAATAAAAAATAATTTAACATTTATAAAATAAATATTTAGTTTTGTAAAATAATATTAGGAAAGGAAAAATTAAAATGATATTTTCATAAAAATAATCTAAATTTAAATATAATGTATTCAAAATTTAAAATATTTTGAACTTGAGTGAAATATAAAAAATTTAAAAATTTTTTGAACTTAAATATATTTTAGTTTGTGTTTAGTGGGTTCAAAATATTAGGATAATAGGGGTAAATTTTTAAAATTTACACCTCTTCCTTGTAAATTTTTCCAAGTTGGAGACACTTGCCCACCTTCAACTTTGCGGTCTGCCACTAATATCAACATCTTCTATTCTTTTAAAACCAAAAAAAAAAAAATCTTCTCTCAAAAAGAAAGAAACAAAGAGAGAAAGAAAAATTAATATTATGATGGATTAACAAAAGAGGCGCCATTCTAAATATAATTAATTTCTTTACTTTTTCTCTCACTATCCATTCTTTCGGTCCTTCCTTCCAATTAATTATGTTCCTTTTGTTTTATTTTATTTTTTGGTACAAGTAGGGGCTAACCGTCCAAACAAAAACAAAAAGAAAAACGCAAAAAGAACAAATCAACCTCTCTCAAAATAAACACCTAAACAATTTGCTAAATAAGCTAACTGCATCTCCTCAACAACATTATCCCAAACCATCAACTCCTCCCCAAGATCAAAAGTAATATTAGTCAAGGCATTAGCACAACCATTACCTTTTCTAGGAGAATAGACCACCAATAATTGCCAATCTCTTCAAACCAACTCTAAATTCTTCTTAGCAAGTGACTACCTTTAGCAAAACGATATTTGCTTGTTCCATCTATTCCTTTTGTTTTATTTTTTAATATAATAGTGGTAGGCCAATTATTTCGGTCCTTCCTTCCCAATTAATTCCTTTCCTTTGGTCCCTTTTGTCCTCTCCTCCTTTTGTCCTCTAATTAATTCTAATTAATTTCAAAATTCATCTTATTAACCTACTTCCTCAATTTCTATATATTAAAAAAAATTGTATCACACAGTTTAAGAAAATTAATTAATCATAATAATTATATTTGGACTAAAATAGCCTATGTTAATTAACATAAGCATATATTAATTATTTTTTATTAATATAAATTATGAGAGATGATTTAAAAAATGTATAATAAATGCTTATTAAAACATGTAATTTTGCATATATATAAAAAAAGATAAAAATAATATTTTCTCTTATAAATAGAAATAGAGTAGTAAGTAAGAAGAATATGCTCCTTTTCTCCTTTTTCATATTCCAATTATTTTCATATTCTTCTTCCCAATTACCATCTCCTTTTGTCCTCAAATTAATTTCAATTAATTCCAATATTCTTCTTATTAACCTAAATAAGAAGAATATTCTCTTTTTTTCAATTACCATCTACTTTTGTTTCCTCGATCTTTCCAGCACCTTCTCCAAAACTACATTACTTTCCATTTTATGCTTCTTCACTTTGATTACTATTTTTTTTCTTCTATCACCTAGACTATGGCTTATAAATAAGAATCCAGCATGTTCAATTATGAACTATGTTTTATTTCCAAAACTATATATATAATATAAAATTATTTTATATATGCCTTGCAAACTTAATTTTCCAGTGTGTTGAACAAATTAATTCTTACCATATACATGCATCCAAACGCGTTCAACTCTAAACTACTTTCTATATCCTCCAAAATTAAATAAGTCACGGGCGGCGAAACCATCACTGAAATTGAAGTGAGGGGACCAATTTTTTTTTATAAAAAAAATGCATGCACATGTGTTGTTAATTTGATTGTTTATATTATTTATTATTATTATTATTTAAAATAATTTACATGATCTAAAAAAAAAGGAGAGATATTCAAATTTGATAAGATTATAAATCAATTTACAAACTTTAACATATAATAAGTTTTTGGAAATGATTTAAATAAAAATAATATTTTTAATTAAACATATGAGAAAATCACTCTTAGATCTCACATAATTAATCAAAAGACATAAAAGTTTTATGAAATCATAAAATTACTCTAAAGTCTCTTTTATTGAAATTATAAATTATTATTAAATAATTGTCAATTATTGTAACTTAGTTTTCCACTTAACAACTTACTAACAATTATTTAATAGTAATTGATAATTTTAATATGCCAGTATATAGTTTTTGATATTTTTCTTTTTATTGGCTCTTCATGTTTTTTTATTATTCAATGATAATGAACTAAGTCATCACACATTGTTAAGTATTAGTATATTACAATTGTTATATGAGCATCACTGTCTAAATCTAACCTATCATAAAGCTGAATGAACTAAGTCATCACACATTGTAAGTATTAGCGTATTACAATTATTTTTTTCCTTCTTGTTTTTTTTTCCGCCAAGTGAAAGCGTTATACATGTTGATCCGTCTCTCATTAACTACCATGTTGACCTAGTATTGCAAATTTGCATGTTGTAAGGAAAAGTATTTCACACGACGCTTAAACATTAAAGGACACCCACTGCCCATATAAGTACGAGGTCTTAGATTTGAAACTATGTGAATGCAGAAAATATTTTTAAAAAAATTATAATCAATTAGACTCAACAATGCTAGGTCAAATAGCCATATCAATTTTTTGTACCCACATGTATTATTTATCGGAGGTAATCCTGTTTGATGTATTTTTAAGCATTAAACATGAATGCTTTTTTTAATAAAAATTTAAATATTAATTCATCATGTTATGAAAAACTAACACTCTCCATTAGCCCCAGCCTAGTTAGCTATGGAAGCAAATTTTTGAACATCGACAATTCACTCTTTTGAATCGCTCATCATGGATCAATGCTACTCTCTTGCGGCTTTTATTAATTGTATTAAATGTATTTGTTTCAACAGGGTTGTATTTAATGCATTTGTTCTTGGTGCTATTTCACTCCAACTCTGAACTGCCACCGAAAGTCAATTCATTAGTTTCAATAATCAAACCCAACTGATCCAACATTCACCTAAACATGAAGCATGATTTCTCTAATCTTATTTATAATATTCATCTTCGTCGTTGTTAATACATGGTTTGTTACAAAAAATAATTATATTTTATGATCCATGTCTAAAAGTGTCATTTCTTTACTCATACTTTTCCATCTATGATCTCAGCTTGATTAAGTTAATTTTGAAAAATTATAGAAGTTTTTGATACTTAATCACTTTTAATTAATGTTTTTATTTTATATAGACTATTTAATATGTTATTATACTTCCTTCATCCTAATTTATAAGATATTTTTTTGATAAAATTATATATACTAATAAAATTTTATTAAATAAAATTTACAATTTAATTTTTTTATAGAGTTTTAAAATTATCTTTCACTAACAAGATACGGGAAATGAAATTTATTCAAAGAGAGAAATGATGAGAGATAATATTGAAATTAATAATAAGAGATAATATTAAAATAGTTATCATTAATAAAATTTTATTTTTTTAAATATTTTATACTTGAGATATCAAATCAATTAAAAAAATATTTTATAAAATAAGATGAAATAATAACTAATGGATATACGTGTCAGCCGTCAGCGTCTATCCTACCAGCTATCTCTCCATCAATCACAGGCACACCTTCAAAATCTAACATATCCTCATCTATTACATTAAAAAAATAGTATATACATTCAATTAGTCTAAGAGAAGAGCATATAAATGTGACTTAATTGTTATTTTCTTCCAAGAGTAAGCTAATCAATGATTAATCAAAGGAACACCAAATGTACAAACTAGATTAAGATTTTTCATTGATATATAGCTCGATGAAGTCTCATATACGCGTATTTTAAAGTTTTAATCTTTTATAACATTCTGATGAGACTTGAATTTAGCAGATATCACTGATATATATATATATATATATATATAAACACACACATATATATAACATATAAAATATTTGGGAAAGGAAACAGCGAAAAGCCAGAAATACACAAGAAGCTTGAAAACAGACTTTACTGACATGAATTTAAAACTACTCCGCTACAATGATAAACAAACTTGTATATGAGATATAAAAGATACATTATTAGGAGCACAATATGACATAAATTTTAGAACTTTTTGTATACTTTTAAAAGATGGAGATAGTTTGGCCGGAAAAAAAAAAAGATGGAGATAATCAAACAACTCTTAGTGACAGTATTGACCAAACCAACAGTTCTTTACATGACCGTAATCATCTTCCTCTTCAACTTGATCCCCTCTGCTATGAATCCACCACAAGAGATTAGTGTATGTGTTTCCATCATCAAAGCCTTCCAAGTTTCTTATCTTCTCCAATGCTCCTTCTTTATCATAAACTCCTTCCAAAGCATACACAAACCCTTTCCAACCTTCACCAACACCTTCCCTATTCAATGCAGGCAATGTCCATCCCACAAGCTCTTTCACATATTTCACATTAGAGAACAATGCTTCAGTGATAGGCAACAATGGCAGAACCTGGATCCCAAGTCTACATTCTCTCCATTCAGGAGGTGCAAACCAGAGTCCACTGTCTCTTTTATTAGCCCAAAGAACACCCATTACTCTGTTCTCCTTCGTGAAATCTTGCTCATATAAGGTATCTTCTTCTTTTACATGCCACCACATTTGAGCTGCATGAATTTCCAGCGCTGCAAGGGTTGATCCAGTGGCAACAAGATGAGTATCACCATATGCTAGACCCATTAATGCTGCTGAGTAGTATGCATTCACAGCTTCACTTGTGCTTTCTTGGTTTCTTCCATCTGCAAATTCTGTCAAACCTCCAGCCCAAGAGTGTAACTTGTAAAGGTCGAAACATCGAAGGCGCGTGTAGTTGGAGTTTGATCTTCTGCCTAGGTTCATGAAATCTGCCATGAGTGAGTAAGCTTGAGGTTTGTATTGTCTTCCCCAAGCGGGGTCAATCTTTGCAAGAACAGCAATTCCATAAAGGAAGTATCCCAGATGATAATGGTGATCATTGTAAATACCAAACCCGAAATCAGCACCAGAATCTTTAGACCCTTGTTTTGTTACAATCCCTCCCCATTTGGGGTCATAGAGAAAGCCATTGCCATTGAAGGTTCCTTCCAACCATGGCTCAATAGTTTCCTTCAAGAACTTCCTGATTGCAGGAATCACATCAAGAAACCCCACTTCTTCAGCTATTAATGCCAATCTAGCTGCTCTGGCAACCAATTTCCCATAGAAATAAGATGAAGTTGTTGTTACTGTGGTGGAATCTAAACCCTCAACATCTTTTGATAGCGCTGAGACAATTTCTTCATAGGATTCTTCTCTCACACCCTTGGTAGAATGCCAAGTTACAGAAATAGGATCGGTCTTCAACAACCATGAATCCCCAACCACACCTACAAGGTCTCCATCGATGCTTCTGTACTTGAAGTCATCAAGAACAGTAACACCACGTGCATTATTATTACATAAAAGTTGCAGATGAAGAGGGTGAGCCAACAACAGCAAATCGCCCCACCCTTTCTTCTCCCACTTATATTCCACAGTAAACGGTTGCGTCAATGAAGCATCCCCTGAAACCGCATAACAAGGACTAAACCTGTCAAGGATCGTTTCGTAATTCGGCTTTGAATTGGGCAAAACAGCGATCCTAATTATACCCGAAAACCCATCCGAAGTAATCTCAGACAGGGTATGACTCAAATTGATAGAAGAAGACGAGTATATAAACCACGTCTGGCCATTGTTGAGCTGAACGGTGTGCTTGGTGAGGGAATCGTTGGAAGAGAACGAAAGGATCGCATGGATTGTTTTGATCGAAAGTGAGGTACGCTGAGTCACCGCCACGGTGAGGTAGGGGCTTCCTCTGACGAGGAAGAATCGCAAATTCGAAGACGGGATGTCCAACGTGACACTGAGATCATGATAGGAAGAGATTACATGGTTGGCGTTAGAACCTGGGCGGGTTGTTCCGATGGTGAGATCAGCGTTGAAGGTCTGGTAGATGAAAGCAGAGGTGAAGAAGCGAGAAGGGTAAGAGAGAGAAAGAGAAGAGTTCGAAGATTTGATCAAGTAAGGATGAATGTACTCAGCCTGGTCGCCGTTTTTGAGGACGAAGTTTTGGAAGAAGGAGTTTGTAGGAAGTGGGGCTGAGAGGAGGTTGGGGGAGAAGAAATTGGAGGGTTCGGGGAGGACTGTGGACTGGGCTTGTGGGAAAAGGAAAGGCCTGCTTGGTCGATTCTGAGTCATCGGAAACGACAACGTCGGAGGAGGAGGAGGTCGCAGCGGCCGGCTCGGAAACGTCACAGGAGGAGAAGGTAGCAGTAGCGGCGGCTCCGGCGGCGGTGATGGTGAGTATGAAGGTTTAGAGAAAGGCTGAAGGGGTTTTATAGATTGCTTGGTACCCTTCTTGAGGCCATCAATTGCATTGCTGACTTTTCGCCTGAGCTTCTTCAGCATTTTGCCAGCTTCCCCTGCTTTCAAAAATTAAATAAAATTAGGTTAGAATTTATAATTAATAATTATTTTTATTCATGAAAAATAATTATTTTTTTACATGAAATATCACTGATTCGATATGGTAATAACATAACTTATATTAACATATATATTATAGGAAATAATATTAATATATCAACATGTAAATTTTCCATGTATTATAAATATAAAGGATGTGAAGTATATTTATGATAAAATTTAAAATTTATAAGAAAAAATAATGATGGTTTTATTGAATGAAAATGGATTTGATTTGTTGTCAACAAGATCCTGTTTAACCCTTGTAAGAGAAAAATTCATGTTAGAGAAATCAACAAAGATTAGTTCATTTGACAAAAATTTAATCCTCAATATATATATATATATATATATAAGATTATGAAATCAAATTCTGCTGATTGATTTAATTATGTGAAGATCTTGCTAGTGATTAATTTATATTTTAATTTTTATATACACTCTTTAAGTCTAAATGCATGATATGACTAGAGTTTTTGAGATCTGTCATACCTAAATCTTTTTTATTATAAGAAGAACCATGTTAAAAAAATTACATTTAATTATTTATTGGATAGCAATTGGCACTACATAGTTGTATTAAAAAAAATTAAAAATTATACTAGACAAAAATAAGAAGAGGAAGAACAAGTTGTAGGGAGACTAGTACCAATCAAATGAAGTAGTTGTGAAATTTGAAATTGTAATTTCACATTTTAAAAAAAAAAAAGTGTGTGAGAGAAATAATAATGAAGAGGGGTGAGACTTGCCTTGGATTAAGAGAGTCAATTGGACGTTGAGAGACGAATTGAATGAACGCGTGAAAGGTTGAAGTGGAAGAGAAAGAAGGAGATGAAAGGAAGGGAAGGCAAGTTTGATGATATTAAGGAAATGATTGCATTGAAGAATGTCAATGTGGGAAGGCAAGCATAGCATGATCAAGTTTCCTTCCCCCAATTCTAAACGTAACCTTGTCCCATCCCATGTAAGTCTAATCAAATTCCTTGGATTCCTTAGCGCTTAAGGTACTTGTAATTCTATTTTCCAAGTTAAGGAATTAGCCTGGCAAAATCAGAATATGGACAGTGTAAAAACATTCAATATAAAAGTTTGAATTTCAAATTTTAAAGTTGAGAGAATTATATTCTAAGAAGAATATTTACAATTACAAATTTTAAAAGTTTAAAATTTCCAAAAAGGATCATAATTTTTATCCAGAATAAGTTGATTTTTTTCATTACTCATTTTTCCCATTTTCATACTTTTTTTTTTTGAAATTTTTAATACTGAAAAAATATTTATCTTTAATTATTTTATAAAATCATGAAAGATGAGTATTGAAATTTTTTGAGCTGACTATTAAAAATGTAAAATATGAGTATTAAAAGTATGAAAGACTAGTACTGAAAAAATTCAATCAAAAAAATTTTAAAGGAAAATGACAGTAAAATTCATCTAAAATATATAAACGACAATTTGATCTCTTAAAATGTCGTAACTTTCCTACAGTTTTTAAGAACTTTTTTGTCATTAATGAATTTATGTAAATTACCAAATTGCTCTTGTTAAAAATAAATGATTCATAATTTTTTTTCTTATATTCGTAATACTGTAACAGCAAATAAAGAATTTAACATGCGAAGTTATAATTTGCTGTTGCATTTTTATGACTTTAAGAAAAAAAGTTGTAAATCATTTATTTTCAATAAGAATAATTTAATAATTTATATAAATTTATTAATGATAAAAAAGTCCTTAGAAACTTCAGGAGAATTATAGCATTTTGAGGGATCAAATTATTATTTATATATTTTTTTAAAAAATTATTATCATTTTTTCAAATTTTAATGTCAACTAAGGATCATGATTCTTTTCTGAAATTTCCTAATTTTAGGATCTTTATTGTGATTAATGTTTTTAAAAGGTCTTTAAATGTAATTTTCCCTTTAAATTTTAGTTGTACACAAATCTTTATTTTACATTGATTCCTTTTAAAGGTGTTTAATTATCATTCTCCCAATTTCCATTGTTCCTTCTCTCTTGAAAGTGGCATTTCTTTTTCACATGGATAACAATTTCTATCACTTATGTTATGGCATACTTAAGTTCGTTTGAGAGCTCTATTTTGTTTGTAATAATTTTTAGAGATTTTTTTTTCTTCGTGATTATCTAATTATAATATTATGATAAATTTTAGTATTGCTAAATCTCTTCAAGCTATTAAGTTTAAGCAAGAGGAATTGAAATTTTTTAAAGACTCATAATCCAACAACCATGGCTGCTTTATGACCCAATTGGTAGACTTTTGGTTTTTTTAATATTAAACTATATTAATATATTATCCAACTTGGGCAATTCACATGCATGATCCACACTTGTATATTTATATTATTATATTTGATTTGATACGATAAACTGTTACTAGATAAAGAATATGATACACTAAAAATTGCAGATAAAGAATAACATAAAAGAGAAAACTAATTAGAATAAGAAAAGAAGCTATTACTAGTGAATGATGGGGAAGATATAAACCATTACAAGGAAGGAATCTCATAATTGAATACTGATACACAAGAAATGCATTTCTTCAATTGTTTCATTCAATCGCTAACATTTTTTACCAAAATAAAAAATATAAAAAATTACCAAAAATCAACATAGGCTTGCTGGCAAAAGGTGGGGGAAAAGGCGCGAAGAGATTTTTTTTTTTTTTTTAAATCTTCTAAAGTCCAGATGCGGATACTGATTTCATGAGTCATGAGAGGTGCGGGGGGTGAGGGGAGGTCAAAGGCTATCTGAACCGTCAGTTTTTAATCCATAGGATTATGCCATGTGTCCAGAACTTTCAAAATTTCAAACGTGCTTTAAAAGAGCAAGAGATTGCCATGCGTGATGGGATTACGAAGAATTCAATTTTTTATTTGTTTTTAGATATTATGTTAGTGTGAATTTTTATGAGAAGTTTTTGACTCAATAAAATGTGACTTTCATCCTGAAATGTATGATGTTTTTTTAGTAGGCCATAACACACTATAATTTTTTTCTTTATCAAATTTTACACCTCTTAAATTGCATAAAATATAAATACAATAGTTGAATTAAAAAATAGATCTTTGTATTTGTGCTTGGGCCATGGGAGATCTTTACAAGAGCACATGCATTAAAATATTAAATTTATATGCCTTAATTATACAGTTGATCCCAAAAAAAAATAGTATGGGATAAAGTAATTATAGGGGAAAAAAAAAGAAATAAAAGTCATTCATATAAAACTCAAAAAAATAATAAATCTCATTATTGTGTCTCTCTTTTTCTTTAATTCAAAAAAACAAAACATAGTTTAAAAAGTTTTAATTATTCTTGAGAAAGAAAAGAAAAAGTCTTGATTAATAGACTTATAATGTAATTAAACCATGCTTTTAGTCTTAACAAAACATAATTGATTAAGCTGTTAATTAAATATCATGAAAATATCTTCTCTAATCTCATTGCTCTACCACTGCCTTGTTTATTATCCAAATCTAACATGACTGCTATGCTCGTCTAGAGTGAAGCAAAGTCACAATTGGCCAACTCTATAAAATAGAATTGATAAGCATATTGTAACACTCTTAAATTTTAAACTGAATTATTAAAACAAATAAAGTGACATCCCAAAATTTAATCTTTAAAACACTTAATATGATAGAATAATATATATCATGATTGAAAGAATAAAAAAATATTATTTTAAAACTTTATCATAATATAAAAGAGTCTATCATGATAATTAAAAACTAAATTAATTTCTAAATGGCTTATTATGGTAAAAAATGATTTATTAACTAAATAAAACAATTTTGAGACTAATTATCATGGTAGAAAGGATTATACCATAATAGAAAGAATTAAAATTAATAAACAAGCCTATACCATGATAAATACTACTTTACTAAAGCATAAAAAGGTTTACTCCATGGTGTTCGATTTTTAAAAACAAGGTTAGAAATCTAAATTTGGTAATAATTTACAGACAACTTGAAATCAAAGTTCCCAAGGGCAATTTAGTCTGCATGTCATATTTGTTTCCTACATATATCTAGACTCAATAATGAATCAAGTGACCACCAAGATAATACACATAATTTAAATATTTGCAGGGGTGAGCTAGAAAATTTTATTAGAAGGTCAAAATAACAAAGCATATATGATAATATATATATATATATTACTAACATATTTAACCTATATATTTATATTCAATTTTACACACACACACCTACAAAAACAAATATATATCTTCAATTTTTAAGTTTTGTTCATTAGATTTTTATAGTATAAAAATAATTAATCATCATGTTTATGATAAACTTTTTTACAAATTTCCTTCTCAATATAAATTATCATTGAATTGGTGAAAATTTTATCTTCCACATAAACATTGAATAATTTAAATGTATCATTGGAATCTAAAATTATGTTTAATCTACAAAACTTTATCACTTGCTTATTGAATTTATTATTTAATTCATTCAATTGATGTGTTCTTCATTCAATATATTTTAAGATTTTTCTTGCCATGCTTTATAAAGTTTGTTAGTAATAATTTTTATAATTTTTTTCATTAAATACAAAATAAAAATAAAATTAAATAATATTAATACTTTAAGAGCACCTATAATAACACCATTTTGTTAAAAATAAGTAAATCATATGACAATTATATATTTAAGTTACTGTAATAGTTGAACTATATATTCATAAAAGACTATTATAAAATTAAAATAAGAATTATATATAATATTTCAAGGTTTTTATAATGTATTAACTCAGAAGCTGAAAATATATAACTCTTACACTTTATTAAAAAAAATTAAAAAATAGGGAGCCGTGATTTCTCCTAATTTCTTAGCCTCCACCCCTAGATATTGGCATTGTTGGTTTGAAACATGATGTTTTTAAATAAAGAATTGATTAACACAACTCATTTAATGCTCAAACAATATTTTCCAAATATTTAACATTACAACTCACAAATCAAAGCCAACGCCTAGGGTGAACATCTTGATCACATGTAAATCATTTTAAACAGGACATAACAATCAATACTTTAACCAAATATAATAGAAAACCGAAAAGAACTTCAAAAGTCTAGACACGGGTACTGATTTCATGAGAGGTGCGTGGGATGAGGGGATGTCAAAGGCGATCTCAACCGTCAGTCTTTAATGCATGGGATTGCGCCATGTGTCCAGAGCTTGAAATTTGGATAGCACTTTCCAGATTTCAAACGTGCTTTAAAAGAACGGAGAATAGCAATATGGGTTGTTTGGCAGCCTATTTCTATTTCTTAAAATAAAAAAAATTTGTTTTATAAACTGTTTTTAAAAAATATTTTAAAAAATAAAAATAAAATGTTATCCTGGAAAATACAAAAGTAGAAGTACCTTTTTGGTGTTTTAGAATTATTGTTTTAAGAAATAAGGGAGAATGAAAAAAAAACACTCATTTTTATTTTTTTTGTTTCAAAATATATTCTACAAAATATCATTTTTTAGTTAAAAAAAAGTTTCAAACAGGCCTAAATCTCTAGTAAAATAATAATTCCACCTCACAAAATGTGATAAGTAATTTGAGGTTTTAAGAAATTTCTTTGAAATTAAATTTCTACATGAAATTATTTTAAATTTCTATCCATTTGCAATTAATTTTATATAATTCAAAAATTTAATATAAATATTCACAAGCATCAATGATTAAAACAATTTAAAAAATCACAATTTTCTATTAGCAATTTCTTCATGCAGCAAAATTCAATTAATTTTATATAATTCATAATTTTAATATAAATATTTATAAGTTTGGTTCTACCAATGAATAAATTAATTTAAAAGACCACAATTTTTTAAATTACAAAA